ACGTCAAGGGCATCATTGGGGTGGCCTGGGGTGGAAATGTACAGCTGAGTATCATCAGCGTACTGATGGAAATCCACCCCAAAGCCACGGATGATCTCACCCAGCGGCTTCACATAAATATTGAACAATAGGGGAGAGAGGACCGACCCTTGTGGCACCCCACAAGTTAGGGGCCTTGGGGTCGACCTCTGCCCCCCTGTCAATACAGACTGCATACGGTCAGTGAGGAAGGAGGAGAACCACTGCATAACGGTACCTCCCACTCCCAACCCCACCAAGCGCCACAGCATGATACCGTGGTCCACGGTATCAAAAGCCGCTGAGAGGTCCAAAAGAACTAGGACAGAGGAATAACCCCTGTCCCGGGCCCTCCAGAGATCATTCACCAATGTGACCAATGTTACTTGGGATCATACAAATGAATTGTCCACAGCTAGCAGACACCAAGATGGAGAAGGCGAAGTTGTTGGGTCAGAGGGTGATCTGTAAGAAATGCAGAAATTTCTTCACTCTTAAAAGATTGGGAAAGATATGTCCTTAGGCAAATGATTTTAAGAATTCCCGCAGGATGTTCTTCTCTGTGGTTCCTACAGAGCCTTAATAATAATAATAATAATAATAATAATAATAATAATAATAATAATAATAATAATAATAATAATAATAATAATAATAATAATAATAATAATAATAATAATAATAATAATAAAGTTGAAAGAGACCTTGGAGGTCATCTAGTCCAACCCCCTGCTCAGGCAGGAAACCCTATACCATTTTGGACAAATGGCTGTCCAGTCTCTTCTTAAAAACTTTCAGTGTTGGAGCATTCACCACTTCTGGAGGCAGGTTGTTCCACTGGTTAATTGTTCTAACTGTCAGGAAGTTTCTCCTTAGTTCTAGGTTGCTTCTCTCCTTGGTTAGTTTCCATCCATTGCTTCTTGTCCTGCCTTCAGGTGCTTTGGAGAATAGCTTGACTCCCTCTTCTTTGTGGCAACCCCTGAGATATTGGAACACTGCTATCATGTCCCCCCTCGTCCTTCTCTTCTTTAAACCAGACATCCCCAATTCTAGCAACCGTTCCTTATATGTTTTGGCCTTTGTAGTCTCTTCTTTAGCGATGCCTCTTGAAAATTTGGGAAAGGGATGATACATTTTGCATTGCCCAACTTGGCCCACCTTTTTTCTTGAAGAATGTTATTGCAAGAGGTATTTACCAAGTTATGCTTTATTTGCTCCTTTCAAGGTCCCCATTGTATTGCTCTGTAGGATTTAATCACCTTAGAACAGTCATCAATATTCTATCAGTTCTGAAGCTGGTCGTATGGTAGCAGAAGGAACGACTACAACAAGGATGGGGGTGGGGATCTGCTCTTTTCTATATTACAAATGTAACTAGCAATAGCATTCAGACTTATGTGTCTCCCCATAGTGCTTTACAGCACTCTCTGGGTGGTTTACAGTGTCAGTATATTGCCCCCAACAATCTGGGACCTCATCTTAACTGACCTTGGAAGGATGGAAGACTGAGGATCGAACTCTAGGATGTGAGCAGAGTTTGCCTACGATACTGCAGTTAACCACTGCACTACCAAATAGACAAATGGCTAGGAAGGAAAAAAAAGGCCTCTCTTTCATGTTCAGTTTTGCACTGAATATAGTTGGTTATCAAAAAAGACTGCTTTACAAACAGTTGATTATTTTGATGTTTTCAGACAGCACACTCTAGCCTTTGTGCCTTCTTCAGGAATGATCTATGCATTTGGCTGTGGAACTAAAGGCCAGCTGGGAAATGGACATGTCTGCAGTCTTAAATGTCCTTCTCCAGTCAAAGGCCACTGGGCAGCTTATGATGAGCAGATCTCTGGTAGAGCAGGTAAGTGACTAGAATTGTATTTGTTTATTTAGCGTACGGTGTTGTTACATTAGCCAGAAGCCTACAATGCTAATGAAGAGTAGTGGTTTGGCTGCCTGTTTACCAGCTCTGTCAGGTGCACATTTGTGTGCTTCCCATGGTGCACCACAAGAGAGTGAGCTAACTTCGCACCGGAAAGAAAGATGAGCGGCTTTCCTTACAGCCTCATCCAAGGCCCCCCTCTCGCCTCCTGGAGCATCCTCGCAAACAGGTATCACAACCAGAAAGATTCAGAGTTGGCAAGATTCTAACTGCCATATGAAGCGCTGCCTTGTCTCCTCACCAAAGTGGTACCTATTGATCTACTCGCATATAACATATTTTCAATCTGCTAGGTCAGTGGTGGCGAACCTATGGCATGGGTGCCAGAGGCGGCACTCAGAGCCCTCTCTGTGGGCACGTGCGACGTCGCCCCAGTCCTAGGCCTTCCGCTGGGTTTTATAAAACCTTTTCGCTTTAGGCCTCCACCACCGTGTACAAAAAAAAAAAAGATTCAATCAATCAGTCAATTTCAACTTCTCACGGAAAAAAAAAGGTCTTGCAAAGTTGGAATTGATTGATTCAACTTTTTAGTCCCACCCAGTCTGCCGTTACCACCGCAGCCACGCCCAGCCAATGGGCCACACCCAGCCAATGGGCCACACCCAGCCAATAGGCTACACCCACCCGGCACCCGACGATGCATAAGTGGGTTTTGGGTTGCAGTTTGGGCACTCGGTCTCTAAAAGGTTCGCCATCTCTGTGCTAGGTGGGCAGAAGCTGAGGTGAGTGATGGGAGCTCACCCCACCACGCAGTGCCAGGGCTTGAACCGCTGGAGCAGAGACTATCTCCAGTGCCATTAAGCCACTGAGCCACAACCCCTCTGGTGACTAGCAGAGAGCAGGATATATAGCATACTTAGCTTTTGGATCGCAAGCCCAACCCTTCAGGCTATATTAATTCTGGTTTCCAAAAGAAAGACAAATGGGATGTTTGTGATTGCTGATGTCTGATGGTTTTAACTAATTCTTGTCAATCTTCTTCAACAGAGGCCTGCACGTGTTAT